CCCCTCGCCCCTCATCAAACAACACACACACACGGATGTGTCGCTCTCTTTGTGTGTCTGTGTGACGGTGTGTGTGCAGTGTCGCATTTTGATCTCATCGTACGAGACGTTTCTGCGTCACGTGAACAAGCTGGGCAAGGCCAAGGACGACATCGGACTCATCATATGCGACGAAGCCCACCGTACTCGACAACACACTTCCACGGACGCACTGCTTGTGTGATTTGGGCGTGTGTGTGTGTGTGTGTGTAGGTCTGAAGAACGCCTCGACCAAGTCGTATCAGGCCATCTGCAAGATGCCCGCCAAGAAACGAATCCTCATCTCAGGAACGCCCATACAGGTGGGTGGGTGGGTGGGTCGTATACACCACACACCACAACCCTCTCCCCAACACACGTCACGTCCGTGTGCGTGTGTGTCTCACTCTCGCTCATTGCTTGGGTGCGTGCAGAACAACTTGGACGAGTTCTACACGTTGGTGTCGATCTGCAACCCAGACGTCTTGGGCAACCAGCAGACATTCAGAAAACACTTCAAGGTGCCCACGACACGACAGCCAACGACACACTCACCCCCCCCCCCTCACCCCTCTGTGTCTCTGTCTGTGTGCCTCTGTTCTGTGTGTGTGCAGCAACCGATCCTGCAGGGCCGCGAGCCTGGCGCGTCCGACGGGCAGCAGGAACGGGTAGGAAGGCGCGCCTATGCCGGCGGCAGGAGGACAGGCAGTGGACCAGGTTTGTGTGTTTGTGTAGGCCCGCAAGGCGTTGGAGGAGATGAGCAAGATCGTCAACGAGTTCGTGCTGCGCCGCACCAACGAGATCATGGCCAAACTACTGCCGCCCAAGACCACACTCGTACGAACGAGGGGCATCCGTCCACACACGCACACGGACAGAGACAAACAAACCCATCTGTGTGTGTGTGTGTGGTGTGTGTGTGGAAACAGCTGGTGTTCATTCGTCTGTCCAAGGAGCAGATCCAGATCTACAACTCCCTCATCGAAAGCAAGAAGTAACCACCATCAACACACACACACACACACACACAGAGAGAGAGAGAGAGAGGAGAGAGAGAGAGAGAAATGCCGAGACATCCGTCTGTCTGTGTAGGGTTCAGAAGTTGTTCCGTGACCAGGAGCGTGGCGAGACCGGCGGCAAGAAGGGCGGCCAGGAGGCGCTCATCGTACTCAGGAACCTCCAGTCACTCTGCAGCCACCCCTCACTCTGCAACCCTGATGTAAGCCAACCACCAAACCACCCACCCCGCCACATAGCCATTGCTATAGATGGATTTGTGTGTGTGCGTGTGTGTGCGTGTGCAGAGCGTCAAGGGCGACCCTGACGCCGTCGCACTGGTGGCTGCGGCTGGTGGGGGTGGGGGTGGGGGCGGTGGTGGTGGGAAGGGTAGAGGAGGGAGGAGCAAGCCGGCCAATCCGGCGGCGGGGCCAGCGAAAGCCGTGCTGCCTGAGCTGTCGGGCAAACTACTCTTCATCAGCAGGTTGGGAGGCACACACCACACCACACTACACCGTGGGTAAATAAGAGACCATTGTGTACCGTACCCATTATCCGCTTGTGCCTGCCTGCCTGCCTGCAGGCTCCTCCACTATGTCCGCATGACGAGCGAAGACCGTGTCCTCATCATATCCAACTACGTGCAGGCAATCAACCACATGCACATCTGCTGTGTTGTGTTGTATTGCGGCTGCATGCATGTCACACGTGTGTGTGTGCAGTTTCTGCAAGTGATCACGGCGATGTGCAAGCAGAAGGGCTACCCCGTGACGGGCTTCGACGGGTCCGCTACACCCAAGAAGAGACACAAACTCGTCACGGTACGACCGCAGACCGACAGGACGACGGTCGTGCAGGCGTCTCTCTCTCGCTGCTTACGTCTTTGTGTGTATGTGTGTGTGTGCGTGTGGATGGGTGGTGCAGGAGTTCAACGATTTGACCAAGAAGAACCAGTTCGTCTTCACACTCTCATCCAAGGTCACTGACTGCAGCCATACACACGCACACACACACACATGGATGGATGGATGGATGGATGGGTGCAGGCTGGTGGGTGCGGCATCAACTTGATCGGCGCGAACCGTCTCATCATGTGCGACCCAGACTGGAACCCCGCCAACGACAAACAGGTCAGGTGCCTGCCGACACAACCACTCACTTACTCACTCACTCACTCACTCTCAATGCACACGATGTCTGTCTGTCTGTATGCGTCGCCATCTATGAATCCATCCATCCATCCATCCAGGCGCTGGCTCGCGTGTGGCGTGACGGCCAGAAGAAGAACTGCTTCATCTACCGGCTCTTCTGCACTGGCACACTCGAGGAGAAAATGTTCCAGGTGTGTGTGTGTGCGTGTGTGCCACGCCACCAGGGGTATCTTATCTCTGTGTGTGTGTGTGTATGTGGCGGTTTGGTGGTCAGAACCAGATCAACAAGGACGGCCTCAGCTCCATGATGGTCTCAGACGGCGACGCGGAGCTCATAGAGAGGTACACATACACACACACACACACCAAGCACACAACAAACACCCCAGCCATCCCTCCCTCCCTCTCTGTGTGCGATTGTGTCCATTCCATTCCATTCCATTTTTACATGCAGTTTGGCGAAGGAGAATGTCAAGGACGTGTTCACGTATCGCAGCGAGACCCTGTGCGACACCCACGACGCCCTCGACTGCCACCGGTGCTACCCCGACCACGACGACCACGACGACGAAAGCTGCGAATCGTCCGAACAACCCTCTCCCTCTCCCTCCCCCGACGCCCCTCCCCCTGCCGCACTACCCAAGAAGGCCGCCAAGAAGCCCCCGCCCCCACCTGCTGACGATGACGATGATGATGACGACCTAGACGATGACGACGATGAGATGGAGGTAGAGGAGGAAGCGCCTGCGCCGCCCCCCAACAACAATAACAAGAAGGACAAGGAAGGTGGGGCAAGAGACACAAAGGGAAGAGGGGAGACGATTGCGTGTAGGTATGTGTGTGCGGCTGCGTGTGTGTTGGTCAGTGGTGGTGATAGACTCGGATAGCGAGAATGACGATGATGATGATGATGACGATGATGACGACGACGAGATGGACATGGACGACCGCCTCGAGCCTGCAGCACGCAAGCCGGCCCCAGCAGCGGCAGCGGCGGCAGCAGCGGGTGGCAAGAACAAGGCGGCCAAGGGCAAGAAGGCCAAGAAGTCGGGCAAAAAGAAGCGCGCCGGCCGCGGCGCCATGCTACCGTACATAGAACAGTCTCTCGACTGCGAGGAGGACAGTACGCAAACTCACCTGTCCACCCAACCACACACGCGCACAGAAGAGTGCTCACATGCTGTCGTTGGCTGCACAGATTTGTTGGATTGGGGTCATTACAAGGAGGTGACGGCTGTGCCGGACCCGATGCTGGTGGCCGCGGCGACCAACAGGCTGCCCGCCGACATGGACGGCCCCACCGACCCCAAAGATGTGCCGCCCGCTGAGAACTGTGACTTCAACCCTGTCTCTTTCGTGATGACCTGCTTCGTGGTAGCTACCTACCCACCACCCGTCCCCCCACGATCCAGGAGCCAGCCATCCAGCCGTCCCCCATGTGTGTATGTGTGTGTGTGTGTTTGTCTGTGTGTCTGTGTGTCATGCCCACTGCAGGACAAGAAGAGCAAGGCGCAGGAGGAAGAGGAGAAGGACGAGGACGCGGAGGCCCAGCGGCAGGAGGCAGACGCCCAGCAAAGGAGGCACAGATCGCAACGGGCCGATGACGACGCCGACGATCGGGAGGAGGACGACCCTGAGGAGGATGAGCGAGACGATGACCGTGGCGATGACGATGACGACCGAGACGACGACGAGGACGAGGAGGACAGCAAGCGCAGCAGCCGCCCCTCCGGCGCATCCTCGTCTGAGGCCGAGATCGAGGTCGGCGGCGCCAACAAGGCCAACAAGACCACCGCAGCAGCAGCAGCCGCCAAGGCCAAAGCCAAGCCGAAGCCCAAGCCAGCTGCCGCCCAGCCGAAAGGCAAGGCGAAGGCCAAGCCAGCGGCTGCCCAGGCCAAGGGCAAGGCGAAGAGCAAGGCGGCTGCCAAGAAGAAGGCCAAGGGGCGCGCGGCGAGCGACGAGTCGTCGGCCAATGACAGCTCAGGCTTCGACGAGAGCAGCAACGAGCTCGAGGAGGAGGAGGAGTGATGAGCTGCACGCCGGCCGGTCACTGCAGACAGACAAGGGAGAGACATCATCGTATCCATCCATTCATTTGTGAGTGAGCGGAAGGGTTGCTGACGAGAGAGATGGACCGGATCGCTTCGATGGTGCGTGTGAGCGTCTGCGTGAGCCTTCCTTCGTCCCTGTGGGTATGTGTGTGTGTGTGTGTGTGGCGGGGGGGG